TGAAAACATTTTTTTTTTTTTTTGTTTTTGTGTGGGGTTTTGGTTTTGTTTTGGGTTTTTTGTTTTTTTTTTTAAGATGAGGGGTATGGAAAGGAGGGAGGATTACTACTTTAAATAGAGAAAAACACGACATTAAAAAAGCTAAATCCAGATTGCCAATGAAAGCAGGAAATGTACCACTGTATTTAACTTCTTCCCTTTGACATAATGTGGAGTAAGAGAAAAAGGTTTAGAGTGGTAAGTTGCAAAATGGAAGATGATAAAAATTAAGTTTTATCAACTGCATGAACAAGTAAAACCAGCCTTTTAAATCAAGTTAGTTCTCTCTCATCATAGGGGCTAAGCTAGCTGTACCAATGTCTGTATACACCAGAAAAAAAAAATAGCATAAGCTGATGGCCATGACAGTGAAAAAAAAAAGGCCATGATAGTTTCAAAGACTACTATTCTAGTAAATTTTAGCAGTTTTATTAATTCTTATCTCAAATTTAAAACCAGGTGTCTTTTCTTAGGTAATGCAATGAAAAATTCAGTGGATAACAAATGTCAGAAATTTAGGTCACAAAAAAAGTGATAGATTTATAGTTAAAAAATGCACCATCACTACATGCTGCAGGCTTACATATTAATCTCAGGATCTCTTCTAGTTTGATGAACTAGTGACAAAAAGCTTAGAAACAAGCAGCACAAACTGATGAAGACTAATGAAACGTAGTCAACATTGTACACATCTGTTAACCAATCTCGGTGCTACACTTAGCTTTTAAGATTTCCCACCCGCCATATTAATGAGATGTTTTGCTGGTAATAACTCAATTTTAACAACACTGTCTTGAAATAACAAGTTCAGTTGTACAGATACTCAAGAATTAAATAAACATAAGCAATGAAGTTATATTCTATACATTCTTCTGAATTATAGCTTTTGACATGAGAAAAAAAAGCATTCTAGCCAGTAAACTTTCCTTTCTCCTCAGCCTGAGCATCTCTCACTACCTTGTTAAATATTTAATAAAAACAAAAAAACCAAACAAGAAAACCCCACCAGAACTACCAGGAGTACTTACTTTCACTGTTAAGTCACTCTCAACAACTCTCTTTTATTACACAACACAATGTTGTATACTTACTATCTTCAAGTAAGTCTGTTATATTTAATTCCAAGGATGGAAAAATTTTGTTGAACATTTTGAAGTCTTTTCCAAACCGTGGCATCTGGATAATCAGGCAAGAGGGTGCCTAGGTAAAATGCCAGAATATAATGTAATGAGCTTGAGATAGATAATTGTCTAAATTGAGAGACATCCTTCTAATGCTATAAACATATTCATGTTATTTAAACTTGCAGCCCATCAACTTCAAAATTAACAAGATGGTAAGCAAACCAAAATTAAGTCTTTGAGAGAAACTACAGCTAAAAAAACCAGGAAAGTGGCATCTAAGTCATTGTCAAATGTCATAAGTTCCAGTCATGCTCAAGTATGATATTAAATATACTGGACTACGCTCCCCCATCGAGGGTGGGGGAGGGGTAGAAAAAAATCTTCCCTTTGTGAAGCTTTTTACAAACAGAGGTATCTCAAAATATTTGTCCTTAAGACAACTTACTGGCAGTAACTAAGAAGTTTTCTTTTAGTAATTCTTTACCTAAATCACTTTGGTCTGTTCAGCCAAAGGATACATGTCGTTAAGTCAACCTTAAAGTATTTTTGTAACGTAAGCTACCTGTACCACTGACCTAGTACTCCCATTTCCAACACGTCCGCATTTTGTTTTCGCACCAAATCCTACTTTTGTCCCATTGCTGAATGGGCAAATATCTAGGTATCGTCACTTCTAACAAAGCAACAGCTGTCACCAACCTCTGCAAACTTCAAGTTGCTGTTGATGAATGACCACTCTAGTAACTGCTGAATTGTTGGGACTCCAACTTTCTCATTTTTGTCCATAAAAATTTGATAGAAGTAACAGTCTTGTACTTTCTGACCTGCTGATCTAAAAACAGATTTAAAAAACAGATTCTGAAGCTCTACTGTAACGATGACTGTATTTTACTAGGAAAATAACATCTATCAGAAAGTAGTCTATACAACACCCTCTCTGCATTGAAATATATTGTGCTTTAAAAAAAAAAGGCCAACAACAGCAACAAAATGCCTTAGATGATAGGCAATCAAGTATTAAGTGTGGACTGATTTCAGAAAAACTTATTTAAGAAACAAAAGCAGTATAAGTTTCAGAGTATGTTTTTAAAATATATGCCTATGCATTACAACTACCAGCCGAGAAATACTTCCTAAGCATGTGCATCGAAAACTCCAGCACACTAAAGCAGCTTTCGTTGGAAAGACAAGTAAGAGTTTCAATAATACAACATTAAAAGGAACAACAATAATTCTCTTCCGTATGATATTCCCAATAAGGAGTTAAAAAAAATGACTGGGTTTAATGAAACATTTCCTTTTCATCAGGGAGATATTGACACTGCTTCCTACAGTAGAAGTCTCACATAGATGGCTAGCATTGCTAGACTTGCTATATAGTTAACAGAGAACTCTCCAAAAGGATAATCCCGATTTAAGGGCCGTCCAGCTCTAATCGTTAAGCAGCCTTCCACACCTAGGCAAACATTAAGAAGGCAGGCTACTACATTAACTGCAAATGCTAGCCATAGTAAGCGTTCTGGATAAACTTCTTCATCCTCAGAAAAAAAAAAAAAAAGAAAAAAAAAAAAAGGAAAAGAAAAGCAAAACACACCACCAAACAAACACACACCACAAACCAACCCCCCAAAAAACCCAAAAAAGAACAACCACAAAACCACAACATAGTTTTATAGGGAGAGAGACAAAGGATTAAGCTACCAATTTAAGTAAGTTTTGAGGTCAGATGTTTCAAAACAAAGTGAAAATTAAGTACTGATGTTTTCAGGTAATATTTCTGTTACCTAAACATAAATCTGAGATATTTGGGAAGAGAGCTTCAGATGAGTAATTCAGCATACTCTGAAAGGACATAAGAAAGGATATAGAAGACTGTGATCACATTGAAGAAGTGGATTTTGCTATTATGGAGAAAAAGCATATAGGAGTAACTGGCCTCCAATAGCAAAAGAAAAGTTAGGTAGGAGCTGTTTCATCCCGGTCTCAAAGTTTCTGGGATGAAATTCCTGGGAACTTTCATTAAACTTGCTATAAACGGTAACCTCCTCCCAACCCAGCCAGCATTTAAGACAATGGTGCCTTTTAGAGTACTCGGGTGTTGAGAGGATTCTAAGAGTATGATGCCCAAAGTTGTTGTTATTAATTTTAAGCCTTCTTTCTAAGAGTTACTCTTAAAGAGTTAAGATATGTGCACAAAACACATCAGCTTCAGCGCTAAAAGCTGAATGGTGGAACAGAAGTTCTGTTCTCCTCTGTATGGCACAGACATGACAAAAACCTTGAAGGCCAAGCTTTACAAAAGAGGGATTAAAGAAATGTGGAAGACGGTGCAGAAACGTGCAAGTGGAATAAGAGGCATCTTCCCTTGCTTTTACTTTACTCCTTTCAGCTGTGATTTCTGCCACAGCAGCACACCTGTTAACTACCGAAAACTAGAAATACATTCTCACATGAAGAGCTATTATTCTAATTATAATAATAAATACTATTAAAATAATTATAGTATTGTACCCCGGGTGTTTCACCAGAATAATACATTAGCCACAGGGGTTTCTCAGCACATTGTATTTCATACAATTGAAGGGAGGCAGTAACACCAACTGTGAGGGTCTTAAGATGGCAAGCTATTCTCTAAACACTTTTCTATATAGACCCAATACATGCTTGAAGTTAATAGTTGTTGTGGTTGTTTTTTGGTTGGTTGGTTGGGTTTTAACTTAACAGTAGGTTACAGACATAGACCTTCGTCTAGACAGAAGCAGGAACACAGTTCCAAATTCACAATATACCTTGATCTCTCATCCCTTCAAGCTTTTTCACAATTTCCCTACAGAACTACCACAGAAGATAGCCTCAGTATACTCAAACGGCATCTACGCAGTGAACTACAGCATACTACACACAGATGGTCTAGTTATGGTGTCCTAGCTCCCCTATCTCTGCATAGCACCACTTACACACCTTGCACACCACTGAACTAAAGCAGCATATAAACTAATACAATTCCTGCGATGAGAAAAGGACTGAAAAACTATGGGAAATGCCTTGCAACACTGGGCAACAATCCCTACCTGTGTTAAACTCAAGTTATGGCAGCTGAATTCTTGTAGTGCTACAGTCAAGAATAAAGGCATACATAAATGCCAGTATCTGTTATTTTGATAAAGTAGGAGAAGCCAAACTTGATCAAGGCAAACGATTGAAATATTTTCGTTAGCCTTAAAGAAGAAATGCAAAACAGTTTCCATGACTTAAACACCAATTCAGCAATCTCTGCAGCTGATCCCAGAAATAAGTAGCTATAAGCTATAGGCCACATTAAGAAGTCCTCTTACAGCAGCCCTTCTCCAGCATAACTAACAGGACAACAGTAAGGCTCTCAAGTAGACAGCACTAGGACAGGGGATCTTTGTCCAGTTCTCATGAAACTATGTTCATGAGCTTTTGCAACAAGAGACCAGTGGGGCAAAACCCACCTACCAAAAAAGGTAGGATAATAGTGTCAAATTTGTCAGTATAACTTTATTATATTGAATCTTATTAGAAATATGAATCACAAGTCAAAGGTGCTCTAAGAGCTATCTCAATTTGAAAGGCAGCAGATACTCTCTCCTCACCAGCCTCTACAAATAGATGAGTTCAACAAAGTAAAGAGATTCACCTTATTTTCAACAGTGGCTCAACTCTTAGAATATGGTGAAATAAAATATTCAAAAACTCTTCTGGATCTGTGGGCGGGAGGAAAAAAAAAAAGTCTTGTTAGCATGCAAAACCAGATACATTATTCAAGACTGATTTTAAATGAAAGTTTTCAAAATTTTAATAGGAAAAAAGTAAAGGTTTGTTTTTACAGCTTTATTATAACAAATAAGATTATGACAATAAGATTATGACAAACCATGAACATTTTCATGACACAAACCTCTATTTACTCTTTTGGTGTCAAATGGCCCAAATAAAAGACACAGGCTCAACAGGGTAACAAAGCTTTCCAGCAAAGATCAAAAAGATGCTCTGTATTTCAGAGAAATCGTTTGGTGCCACACAACTTTTTCAGGAGAAATAAAAGCTTTCAAAAGAAAACAGTGAAACTGCAGAGAAGCAGTGAGGAGTAGTGACTTACATAAAAACCACACAATAGTACAAAGTTCATCTAAACTAGAGACCGAGTTCTCTAATCAAGAATGCAGCCAACGCTAGCTTCCCAGAGGTCTATTCTCTCCCAACACTGAGAGTTTTCTGGTATATTTCTCTTCCTGCCACTAACTGCAATAAATACTGGTTTTCAGCATTTAGCATTTACAGAGAAAGTAGTGTTCTCCCAAACAAAAACAAACGAGCTAAATACTACAATGCTAATTAATCATTATATGCAGCAAAAGATCAAAAGGTTGGGAATTGATTTTTCTAACATGATTTACACATTTTATTTCTTAAAATACTACATAACCATTGTGACAATGAAATGTTGTAGTGGAAAGATTATTCCTCAGGGACCAAAGCGACATTTTGAAAGACAACAAAAACCCCAGCCTTATCACAGTCTTCATTTCCAACGAAGAGCCTTAGATCTCCCCTAACTGCTAGAGGGGAGTTACATGGGCACAGGAAGGCAAGAAAAGAAATCCAGCCAGTGAAAGACTGTTACAGCAGAAACTGTACAGCTAGGGTTCCTTGCAGACCCGAGGAAGCAGAAAAGACCTTTTTACCACCCAATGGTCACTCAAATCTCTGGCAGAGCTATTACTGCTACAGGGAAGTATTTGTGTGTTTTGTTCTGGTACAGTTATATAGCAAGGTATTTCAGTTCCTTCATATTATGATTCTTACAAATCTCAAAGAAAGGAAAACCTCCCCAGTTACCTTTTTCCTCTGAAGTGAATCCTGATGCAGCCTCAACTTTTTCAAGTATTTTCCTCAGTTTCATTATTTTTGTAGCACATACATATCCATATCTAAGACAAATGGGTTTAATAAGCTATTAGCTAGTTTGTGATCAAGTCAGAGAAGCAGAAAAAAACACCCTCTTAAATGCTCAAATACAGGCTCTCAGATCCCTCTTTAACTGTGTACAGTATTTCTTCAAAACTATGTACTGACTCCTCATATTCAATCTGACTTCCAGTTTTTTTAATGCAGTATAAATTTAGTGCAGTGCTCAATGTTCTTGCATAACCTTTAAGAGCTCTTTTTAAACATTAACTTACCAGGATAACTGTTTCCTGATTTGTCAGTCAATTACTTTTGATTTCACTCTAATTTACACCGCTTAATACATCATTTTCGGAATGTCACATAACAACAGCACTGTGGAAGTTGTTAATAAAAAAAAATTTTCAATATTTGAGAAAAAGATACAGAACTGTATTGCTGACCTAAGAAACTGAAGTTTTGAGCATTCAATCTTTTCCTCTAAAACTTTACAAAAAGTTCAAAGAAAGTTTTAAGCATGATGGAAAGGGCAGGAGAAGTAAGACTTGCAGTCTTCTCAGCCATTTGAGATTTCTGCTACTTGGCGTGTATCTTACTACCTATACCGCAGAACCCTGGAACACACCAGGCAAAGTACACACACCCTTACAAGAACAAGGGTTCAGAAGCCATCATTTTATTCGGGAATCAAAAGTAAAACTTTGTGATAAATTGTTCAGTGACAGCCCACAGAATTTCAGAACTACAACTGTATTGTTTGCATGTTTAAAAAAAAAATAATAATAAGCTAAAGACAAATAACTTTTCATGCAGATTTTTGCCTTATTTCCTTTGTTCATTGTGCCTAAGAAATTACAAAGCTCTTGTTAGTTCTTTTAACAGAAGCGTTTTGACCACTTGCAGACCACATGTAAAAATTAATGAAATTTTTAAAGCCCTGCCAAACCTATCAAATTGTGAAATTCCACACAAGATAACCCAAATACTTTTCTTGTCAAGAACAGCATTAAAAACATTTAAATACAAATGCTGTGAACAAACACAACTTGTATTCATCGATGCTTTTGTATTCATACCTATACAAATTTTACAATACCTTTATGCTGATCGCATTTCCAAATAGACTAGTGAAAATATTTTATCACCAAACAATGAATAATTATTTCCAGTTAGCACTGATTAAATTTACCATGAAGAACAAGTAAAAATACTCAAAAAAAAACCCCAAAAAAACACCAAAAACAAACAAAATGAAGAACAAGTAAAAATACTCAAAAAAACCCCCAAAAAAAACACCAAAAACAAACAAACAAAAAAAACAAAAAACAAAAAAAAACACCAAAAAACACCCAAACACAAACAGACTAGCAGCTCGCCAAACTTTTCAGGTTTGCAATAGGAATGCATACACAGCAGGACTTAGTATAAAATTTGTATTAGACCAGAAACCAGTTCATGTCTTTACTTACATTCTCAGAGGATTCACAATCTCTGTCCGCAACAGCTCTTGGGTCTCACTATAATACTCTACGTCATTCTTTTCTTTAGGTCTGAGTAACACAGTGTCCAAAACAGAGCTAAAAGAAAACAGACTACAAAGAAAAGACAGAAAAGGAAGGTTGTTTTGATTCTGGAAGATACAACCATTCAGATGCCTGAGCAACATAAGACAAACCAAGCAAAGCCACAGGAAGAATTAAAGAACTAAACAAACTCAAAAAGAGATAATTATGGACAGAGGACAACACAGCTGTACTAAAGAGTAAAAGTCCACTCTAACCCAGTATCCTTTCTGCAGCAGAGTACAAAACCAGTTGCCAAGGCAGGATTTTGCAAATAAGTTATAAGAGGTATTTCCCTCCCTCCACCCCCCAGCCTGGGTACTCTTTCATCCTTAAACCATTTACAGTCAAAAAGAGTATAGATACACAAGGGCCAGTACAATCTGGACATGATTAGCACTTCATGTTATGCAGCGAATGCTGCAGAACTTGTTCAAGTTGAAAGAGCATAGTAATGTGTCAGAGATTGCAGTGCATGACTTTGTAAGCTGCACACTAATACAGACAGACAGTCATGACAACAACGATCACGTGTTCTGCATTTCTAGCATAGGATGCCACTATACAAATTATGAACTTACCAGAATAAGGTGGAGTCTAAGTAACAGGAGTTGTAATGACCCTGGATACCTTTCTTCTTTCCAATCATTGTCTCTAAACCTTCTTTTTCCATTTTTGGAGGAGTGTTTTCTTCTACCACTTCACTTAAGTAACCTCCAAAGGCTGAAATTTTTTTTTTCAAAAGACACTTTAAAGCCTCAAATTTTATCCCCCTTGAGATTTTTCCTATAAATGTTTTATAGCTAAGTTGCTGCCTTAGTGTTAGCATTGCTTCTCTGGACTAGAATAGCATTTTATCATAGCTGAGACTCACTTGTCTTCCAGAGAGTGAACAAGGCCTTACATTTCACTGACAATGCACCTTAGAGTGCTTCAGAAAGCCTGCAGCACTGAATTAATTTTATTCAGTAGGAATGAAGTTCTCTTCTCATTATAAATGCCCTGTTCACACTATCTTACAAGTATCAGACACTTTTTTCTTTGCTGTCGTCCCAGGAAATACAACATGACCCAAGAAATCTAAAAAGTTTTAAGTTAGAAAAAAAATTGAGTTTTTCACCACTAACTTCCACCATAAAAATACATGCTTTTCTATGCTAATATTTAGAAAAAAAAATTGACATTATAGAAAAATAACTATTTCTGATAAAGCAATCACATATTACTGGAGTTGCAAACACCATTTTCAGCAAGATTGCTTTACAACTTCTAAAGTAAAAAATGTACAGCATAACAAAAAAATCCCTTAGTTTTATGAAATGTCTTTAAATATATGAACATTTTCTTGTTTTAAAGCCTAAAAAAGTAATCCATAGAAGCATTATGTTCTGTACAGACTGATCTTCTATTCATTAATCTCATTTAAGTAATACATGTACAGATTTTCAAGCGTTCAGGACAAAGAACATATTGCAGGAATAAATGAAACCAAAACCCAGGTCAGTTCCCAGCTGATAAATAAGTAGTAAGCAGAAGCTCAGTACCTAGAGAGTTGCAGCGTTCAATCTGGTTGGAAACGGGCTGTAGTGAGGCAAACCTGGAATCTGGCCTGCAGCTTTTGAGTTTAACAAAAAGAGCTTTCTTCGGAGCACAAGTGAAGTATCGAGTTCCTTTAAATGTTCCGTCGGTACAACCTGCACATTCATCTTCCTGAAAATTCAAGTGAGAATTCACCATTTTTCTTCTTTCTAGAATTCTGCAGTAAGACATTTGATAAAATATCTACCCATAAGTCACCCTTCAGGTGTTCTGAAGCTTGATATACAATGTTCCTGCATTTTAGTACACAAAGCTTCAGCTGAGGTGTTCTTTAACTGCATTTATGGAGGAAATTGAGTCGCACTTTTTTCCTTCACACCTAAACTTTCACTCCATCCAAAATAAAACAAAAATTCCATCAGAAGCAGCTTGGGGAAGGTGGGAGAGGAGAGTGAGAATTAAACCTAGTCACCATTAAGAACTTAACTAAGCTAGCTAGTCACTCCAGATTCCTTCTGTAGTTAGAAGAGCACACATGCACTACCGAGCACCTTTTAAAACTCAACTGAAATCACTAAGCATTGGGTAGTGTGAACACTTCCAGTGTGACTGTGGCCTGCACAAGAAAAATACCTGCTTCAGAACACACAAAATGTACATCAAGGAAAGACAACACAAACTAGATATGAAAAATAACAAGTTATCGTTATTTATCTTTGATAACATGATTTAAGGTATAGTCTCTGCTTACTAACAATTGCTAGGTTTTAATGCAGAAATGCATGACAGGCAAGTCCAAGACCCCAGTTTAACACAAGGCATCCCAAGATGCAGTCTGAGAACACCTGTGGCAAACTATAGCTTGAGCTTCACCCAAAACAACCAGAAGCATCGGGATTTTTTGTAACAGCTGAAATTCCAGTCACATTCTCACCTACTTTGCTGAAGATGTTTGTTGTTTTATGTAATTGTACACTGCTTTATCTGAAATTTTATTGAACATTATCCCAAAACAAAGAATCCAATCTCCCTAATTGCGTACACATTAATTTAACCGATAGCCAATCACAACCTTGGCAGCAGCTGCCACAGAGTAAATGTCAGTGCTTAACAGCAATTCACGTTTGCAGCAACTGTGAATTTACAAAGGGTCCACAGGAACACATAAAGCATATGGCTGTCAAATCAACAATACCACTACCATCGATTATCAAAACCAGTGTTACGACTCTGACAATCGTAACTCTGACACTGCCTGTTTGCTAGTATGCAAAAACCAAACAAAAAATTTATATTCAATAAAGACGCTTACAGCCAAGGCGTTTTATGTAAATCTGCATGTCAAAGAATCTTTAAATACAGTCGGCTTTTTTCAATTAACATCTCCATGACGTAAGCAAGGGGCACTCCTTTAAAGTAAGTGACTAGTCCTACAAATTCAATTACCCATTGTGACACAAAGACATCTCAGAGCCTATTAACAGCGTAAGGTCTAAGGCAGCCACAAGAGTCAGAGCTCATCTAAGAATTTAGCTGTAAGGAGATCACATGGCAACCTGTTTGGACAAATTCCTCCAGACTGACTGCTTTTGCAAAGTATACAGGCACCAACTCTCAGCAACAAAATTAGTAACATGTAATTAATATTTATATGAACTACAATTTATATTTACCAGTTCCAGTCCAGCTAATACTTCATTTACTCCAGGGGGCTGGCCAATCCAGCGGATTACTCCATAGAAAGGAGGATTTTCTTTAACTTCAGCCAAGGAACCTGCTTCAAGACCATGTGAGTTCCCGACTGGGCCTGCTGTTGATGGACTCTCCTGGTTAGCCGTAGTATTTACATCACCAATGACTGACTGAACAGATAAAGAGAGAGGACTATGTCCAATAGTACCATTAGTACTTGACGTTTTTGTCAAGCTAAAAGGGAGGGAGTGAAATCTGTTTTCTGTAGACACAGAGTTGGTTAAAGGTGGCTGCAGTGGTGGTGAAGAATGCCCAAATCCAGAAGATGAGTCAGTAAGTGATTTTGCAGGGTCTTCAGCAACTGTTAAAATCAAAATCAAGATGTTAGTAAATGTTGGGGGCGGGGGGGTGTCCCCATCTTACAAAAGGAAAGACTTAGCTATCAAACCAATGAAGTGTATCTGCAACCACATCTGATTTAATGGGTGTCCTGTATAGGAAGCACTAACAGCTGGGCACACGTAAGGTGTTTGTCACTTGGCAACACTGGAGAGACAGAACTGGCTGAGCAGACACTGCTGTAGCCCTACCACTTTTACCACAACCAACGGAAATGAACAGCACAGAGAAAGAAGATGTTAGCCAGAAACTACAGGAAGGTTTAGATTGAAAACTTTTTTTTTTTTACCCCCACATTAGAATTTTTCTTTGAATACAAGTTAACAGCCCCAAGGATTATGACTGTAATGGGCAAAACTAGGAAGAATTCATTGGTCAGGGTGACTGAGGAAAGGATTTCGTTCACAGCTTATACAGAGATGAGTAATTGCTTGCAGACATGATTTGCAAATGGAAAAGTGTTTATTCCCCTGGCTCTATCACAATATACTTTGGTTCTAACACAAGGAATCTATCAGTGTCTATAAAGAATAAAGGATTTAAATAAGTCATGACTAATGCAGTGCTTGATAAATGAGATCACAACTAGATGTAATAGCACAAGCGTTCTGTATCTTCTCTCATCTCTCTACATGGTCTCTAATATACAATTGGTATTCACAGAGCAAAAGCCTCTTCTTCATCACCTCTTCACCCCACACTGTTTTATTAACTGAAGTTAATGTATAAAATTAAAAAAAAAATATATTTAATCCTTTACTTCCATAGTCCTTTCTAGATAGGATATTTACCTTGTTTATTTTAAATAGTATAATAAACTAATTTTTAAACAGAATTCCAAGTTGTTGGAACAACATCTGTTAGGCAACCAAGAACAATTTTAACCCATTTTCTTTTACGATTCACGGAATTCAGGGGCTACTACTGCTAG